GGCTAACCCAGTCTCATCAGATCTCAGAAGCTAAGCAGGGTCAGCCCTGTTTAGAATTTGGATCGGAGATTGCCAAGGCAAGTCCAGGGTTGCTATTCAAAGACAGGCAATGGCAAACCACCTCTGAATGTCTCTTGCCTTGAAAACCCCATCATGGTGCCCTGACCTGGATAGCCCAGGCAAGCCCAATCTCATCAGATCTTGGAAGCTAAGCAGGGCCGACTCTGGCAAGTACTTGGATGGGAGACCTCCAAGGAATACCAAAGCCAGGACGTAGAGGGAGGGAATAGCAAGCCACCTCTCTGAAACATCCAAGCCTCACTAGGGGTTGCCAGAAGTCAACCGTGACTTCCAGGCACACACACACACACACAAATACTCAACAAAAAACCCCAAACCCATCATGAGATCACCGTGAGTCGGTTGCAACTTGAGGGCCAGTAACAATGTGCAAGGGGTAGTTTCAATTTGCAAAACCACATGGGGGGTTTAAACTATTTCTTCCCCCCACACCCACTCTGATCCAAACCAGGTCCTCTCAAGGCTTTTGTTAGCATTTTATAAATTCTTGGAGGATCCAGTCACAGATCTAGAGGCCTCTTGTCAAGTTTGACCTGTGGAATACATTCAGCCTTATGTTTAAATTAGGGAATAATCAGCTGTTGGAGTAAACTGTGCTTTTAATTTAGCCTTAGTGGTTGATCTTCTGGTACGCTGAGAGTCTTGTTTTATTTAGCTGTGGTGACACCGGTAGCTGCATTATATTTTTCATATGTTACGTAGGATTGGGAACTGGTCCATTTCTGCTCTGCAGCTGCCGTTACTGAAGTTTTTTGTGTACACTGAGCACTTGTCTGCTGGACTGCAGATGTGGTTTGGGAATCTTGTGGGGATTATATCCCAGTATGTCTTCAGCTGCCAGAATTGGGGCCCGTATTTTAGTTAAGGTAGAATATTTTCCATATATTGGAGTTTCAGTTGAAAGATGCTGTCAAACAATCCTATTAGAATTTTCATTTGTAGGCGATGTTATATAGCTTCGACCTTTTAAGACTCTGTGGCTCGTGTGTTGTGTTTTGTCAAGGGTTGATGCTTAGAATCTACATATTGTTACAACCCTCTAGTAGTTATAAATTTGCTCCTGTCTTTCACACTGGGCACGATCCAACCAGTGTTAAGTACCTTGAGTTCCATTATTTAAGTGAAAGGCATGCTTAATAGTAAGCAGAGCAGGATTCGGGTCCAGTAGCACTGTAAAGGCCAACAAGATTTCCAGGATATAAGCTTTCAAGAGTCAAAGCTCCCTTTGCCATATGCAAGTAGGAAAGGAGATCCTTGAGCCCATATTCCCCAGTTACAAGATAGGAAGGCAGGCCCATAGCCACGGGTGGGATTTGGGGGCAATGCCCCCCCACAGACAAAAAAGAATTAATGTAAAATGCATGTGGGGTTTCCAAAATGACCCCTGGAACAGTCAGGGAAGCTTCAGTCTCATTTTCTTTTTTTTTCTGGGCCAAAAAAATAGTTTTTTTTTTAATGAGAAGGTTTTTTAAAATGAAAAAAAATAAAACAGCAAAAAATAAAATATGGGCTTTGCCTCTTGTAAGTCGCCCTGAGCCCGCTCCACGGGGAGGGCGGGGTAAAAATATCAATAAATAAATAAATAAATAAATAAACCACAGTTAAAGCCAAAGTTACATTACATTTGCAGAGGCCATAGAAATCTTGCTCTGTTCTCTGAAATTTCACTAAGCATTATCCATGTACTTTCAAGTCTATGCCTATTTTTACAGCCACAAAGGCAGAAATATACTATTCCTAAAATTAAAGCCTTGGGATACTCAGGATGCCAAGCTCTGTGCTTGTTCTATTTTCATTAAATCACAGTTTGCGCAGCCGTGGCTGTATACTCCCTGTCAGCTTTTCTGCTGCCCCTGTGTGCATTCTACAATTAGCTTTGTCTGATTCCCACTGTGATCCCTTCTCTTTTCCTCTATCATCCCTGGATGGATCCCTCTTGCTTCTTGGCCGTGTATGATTTTGCAATGGCCTGGCCCTCAGGATGATGACAGCAACTCTCATTTGGACTTCATCGTAATGGCAGCCAACCTGCGAGCTGAGAACTATGGCATCCCTCCTGCTGATAAACTCCAGGTGAGGAAAAGAGGCGGGACTCTCCTTTCTCCCATTTCCGGTCAGCTCCAGGAATAAAACAGGACAGGCCTATCTGGCCACCAGTGTTCCCTCTAAGCTGAGTTAGTGTGAGCTAGCTCAGAGTTTTTAAGCCTCTGGCTCACAGATTTTTGTCTTCGCTTGGGAAGGAGGGCTCCAGAGCAAACTAATATATACAGTAGCCAAATTGCTGGCTCACAACTTTTAATGCCAGTAGCTCACAAGGTAGAATTTCTGCTCACAAGACTCCACAGCTTAGAGGGAACATTGCTGGCCACATGCCTTTCCGACAGGTTCTAGGGGATGCAGGTGGCACAGCTTGACTCCAAGAGGGAAAGGGCTGGGAGCTTACAGTGTCATCAGTGAGAGGAGATGGAGAATGAAAGTGGCTGGGCCTGACGTCTCCCTTTACGATGTTGCCACCAACAGGGTCTTCTCAGAACTATCCATTCTGTACCCGTGTTCTTTCCTGTTGTCTTCATGCTGACTGTCCAGTTTCATTTCAACAGGCTAAGAGGATTGTGGGCAGGATTGTACCTGCCATTGCCACGACAACAGCTGCCGTCGCCGGCCTGGTGTGCCTGGAGCTGTACAAGCTAGTGTGGGGACACAGGCGTCTCAGCTCCTATCGCAGCACTTTCCTGCGGCTCTCAGAGCCTCTCCTCCATCGATGCCAGCCCCATTCGCCTCAGCCAGCGTACAAGGTGAGGCCTGCTGTAATTTGGCTTTGGTCCCTGTGTTCATCGTGCCTTGAAAGCAGAAGATCAGTGGGATTTGCTTTTCCTCACAGACTTAATAGTGGGTAGCAGAGACGTACATTGAAGTGGGGCTGCTGTTCTTCAGAATTTGTGCTGACTCTGACAGGGGCCTCTGCCGTGCAGGGAGTTAAAGCTCATCTGGTTAAAGAAATCTTCCTTCCGTAGGACTTAATATTTTACCTATGTTGAATGGCTCTGTACTGATGGACATTTCATTTCTGTGTGCATGCAGACACCGGTACAGAACAGTAGTTTGCAGTTAACCCTCTTTAACTTAACTCTGACTTTTACTCTTCTCTGCAGGGAAAACCCAGTTAATCTCCATCTGGGGCGCTGTCCTCCCAGGCTACCAAGTGTGGCTTTTGATACTACAGCACCTGTGGCCAGTTAGATGGATAAGTGCTCCTCACTTCCAGTTCTTGTACTGTTATTGTAATATCTGATGGAAAGACAAAAAGATATGCGACAGGCACATCTCATCTTCAGGTGTCTCCCACGCAAGTGCCTCTTCAGACATTATAGCAGCTAGACAACAACCAGAAGCATAAGGGGCCTGAGTGCATGGGTGGCACTAGGTGCTAGGATGCCTTTGCATACAAATGGACCATGAGTCAGAACCTTCTGCGTTAACTGGCGAGCAGCCACTCCTGTACGGTGCATCATCAAGAGGAGGTGTCAGAGTGGCTGCCCTGTTGCTTGAAGCAGTGTGGGGACATGAGTGACTCCGCAGAGGCAGTGGAGGGAGCCTTTCTAGCCCACCTCTCTTGTCTGGGTGCTGGGGACTGAGCTGCTTGCCAGGAACCGTTGGGTGGGGGAGGGCGGCTGCTCCTGCTCAGCTGCTGACCTTGCCTTTCCTGAGCCCCTTCTGGCAGACAGACGGTGAAGGGGATCTAGTTTCAGAAGCCAGTGCCTGGAGTGTGTATCAGGCGAGCAGCGGTGCAGAGGGAGAGGCATGGACAAGGCTGCCTGTGAGCTGTCAGACACAGGAAATGGTCTTTAACCTGCAGCTGACATACACAGCTGGTGCCAAGCCACACACACCACAGTGGATCTTGGCCTCCTTGTTTCAGCCCTGGGCTACCCACACAGCTATTCTGTGGGCTTAGTCCCTGATGCCAAGATTAAGCTTCTCCACACCTCTCTATAGTCACTTGGGTGTTTTGAAATTTTTTTTAGCTCAAAGACTGTTGACCAGGAGTATGTACAGCAGGCCAGGCAAATCCAGGGCTTTTTCCTGGCAAAAAGATCTCACAGGGCAAGACAAGGCTGTGAATGTGTGTCTCCCCCCCCCCCCAATAGTGCCTTGTGAGCACACAGTAGATAACATCTGATGGATACTTGAGAATGGCATAAATACTTGGGAACGTGTTCCTCCTATACGAGCTTCAGTTCCTACATAAACTTGCTTGTGGATAACAATGTTTGAATTGGCAAGACTTTATCAAAGGATAAGTCTCCTTGTGACACCAGGGCAACTTGCCAAGGAGACAGATAGTTGATGGTGTTGTGGAGAGCCTCATCGGTGTGCTGTTTGTAACATCTCTTTTTTGTTAGGATCCCGTGTTAGACCTCCCCAGCAGTGTTCCCTCTAAGCTGAGTTATTGTGAGCTAGCTCACAGTTTTTTAGCCTCTGGCTCACACATTTTTGTCTTCGCTCAGGAAGGAGGGCTCCAGAGCAAACTGATTTATGCAGCAGCCAAACTGCTCGCTCACAACTTTAATGCCGGTCACTCAGCAAGTAGAATTTTTGCTCACAAGACTCTACAGCTTAGAGGGAGCATTGCTCCCCAGCCTTAATCACTACACAGGTTCAATTTCTGCCTTGCCACAAAGCTTCCTGGGTGACCTTGGGCTAGTTGCTACCTCGAACCTACCTCACAGGCTTGCTGTGAAGATAAAACCAGAGATGTGTGCTACCCTGAGGTCCTTGGAGGAATGACAACACAATAGATAAATATTGGATCCAATTCACTGTTCCCTACTTTTGTTGCTTTCATTTGTGGGCCTTTTCTAGGAAAGAATTCTACAGAAGGCCCTCGTTTAGGCAATGGTGGATGTTTAGTAACTTAATATCCTGTACTATACTGAACATATTCAGACCATCTGTTTGTCAAGGCCTACCTTTATTCCTTGCCTATCTTGCAGTCTGCCTTGCCATTAAATGCTGCTTCACAGTTCTATGGCTTCTACATTGCCACCCCTTCTCAAGGCACTCTGCCCGTGCTTTCATCTGAGCAGGCCATGGGAGGAACCATGTTTTAGCATGTGTGAATGCTCTCTCTCTCTCTCTCTCTCTCTCTCTCTCTCTCTCTCTCTCTCTCTCTCTCTCAACACACACACACACACACACACACACACACACACACGTATATATGCTAGCTATATTCAGGGAGTTCCCCTTTTGTCCCTGCTCCGATATACCATCCCTAGGACTCCGTGGTTGCTGGGGTTGGGACCGCTCTTGGCTTCCTTGCAAAAACTCCCTTTTCTGGAGAGAGAAACCAGAGCTGGAATAGTGGGGGAAAGCAGGGGGAGCAAGAAGCTAAATTAAGATCATCTGTTTGAATAGAAGCCTTTTTGTCTTGAGTTTATGGAGTGCGAGGCTGGGGCTTCCTGCTACACAGGAAGCACAGATTGGAACCAGATTGGTGGGGGGGGGAGGCAGGAAAGGGGGGGGAGGGCTGCTCTTCCATCTCCAGTGATTTCCACGGCTTGCTCTCGGCGCCTCTATTCCTCCTCCCTCCCAGATCATTCTGCATGGCCTGAGGGCTTGCTTAGCACGCACGCTCCACTTACCGCTGCCTGCCGAATGTCCTGCACTTTAAAGGACAGCTCAGGTTTCTGAATACTGCCGCCCTGCAGAAGTCTCTCTAACTAGAACCTTCCAATGTCCATGTGGTGGGGAGGTAGCCCCATGAGAAATGTGGATCGGACGGCTTCTCATTGCAGTGTGAGCTTTCCTCAGTGTGATGGAGGAATCCTGGTTCTGTGAAGTGGCTGGACATCCAAAGTGAACTGTGGTCACGTAGACAGTGCTGTAGTTAGTGCTGCAAAGGGAAGACCATAGTGAAATCGCAGTGCAGTAGTCAAAGCACAAGGCGATAAGTCCTGTATCTGCATACTTCTGCTTGGACTTGACTGAACTTTTGGACTTGCATTTTCAGGAATGAATGAAGAATTTAAGTGTGAAATGTCTCTTCTGGGGGGGGGGGAGAGCCTAGTGGGGTGAGACCCTGGGGTGAACTGAAAGAAGTATCAGGAAAGGGTGGGGTAGGCAATAGCATCCAGCGATAGGGTAGAGAGCAAAAAGAAACAGCAAGCAATGTTGGGTCCAAAGAACTTACGGAACTGATTAAGTGGCATATGGGAGTCATTAGGTCATAAGGACTGGGGGAGGGGAGCTCCTGCCGTGGTACCAAAGGATTTCCCCCTATGGAATAGATTCTCTGGTCGTTTGTTCCTCAGTGCTTGAGTAGGTGGGGGGTGGGGGGAGAACTATAAGGTTTTAGAGACTTATGAAGGGCAAGCTGGAGTGAAAAGAAAACTGAGGTAGGGGGTTTTGCATTTGGGCATCAAGCAAGCTGGGGATATAGCTAAGAGCAGAACCCCAATATCCTGCCTTCCCATTGAGACCTGTCCTTCCACACCACCCCTCTGCATAGCTCAGTGCCTTAAAGGGCTGCTGTGGCGGCAGGCATCAGGATGGTTTGTGGAAGTATACCCTCTTTTTGCTGTGAATGTAGCCTAATGAACTTTCTCATTCACCACTGCCCTAATCAGCTCCCTGGCTGTGGAACTGGATGGGCAGAGATGTGGGCACGATTTAGGAGCGCCAAGCAGGAGAACTGAGTCAGAGGTGCTAATGAGTTTGCAGGTGTGAAAGGCCAAATTAGCCATATGGCCCTTGGGAAAGAGGGTCCATTTTTACTCTCTCTTCATTGGCCCTATAGATCGAAGAGCAAATGGGAGAGGCCATATGGCTCCAAATGGCCCAGATGAAAAATCTGAGCCCCCAGCTCAAAATCCCCTCTCCCTTCCAAAAACAGCAAGCTATGGTTGGATCTCTCCTGTTTCAAATCAAAACAAGTCCTTAGAGGAAGGGACACTCCTGATTAGATTGGAATCACTTGCCCACGGTAAAGTGATTCTAAATTAACTCTTCTGAATGGCCATCAGCTGATTCAGAAACTGGATATAAATGCATTTAAATCTGCCTTTCTATTTTTTGTTTGTGTGCACCAACAGTGAAAGAGAAACTGAAAAGTGTTGTGGCACGTTGTGAGTTTGGCCTTCTGCCTCCAGTGGCTTGGCTTGTGCGAACATATTGACTGATCACACATTGCAAAGCCTTCATAGTCCTATGTAAGGTTGCCAACCTCCAGGTGGTGGCTGAAGATCTTCTAGGATTATAACTGATCACCAGGCGACAGAGAGCAGTTCCCCTGGAGAAAATGGCCGCTTCGGAGGGTGGACTCTGTGGCATTATACCCCATTGAAGCCCCTCCCCTCCCCAAACCCTGTCCTTCTCAGGCTCCACCCCCCGAAATCTCCAGGTCTTTCCCAACCCAGAGCTGGCAACCCAACCCCCATGTGTCTGTCCTGGGTTCTGTGGATAGATGTGTGCAGGAAGTTCTGTCTCTGGGATCTGATTCCCAGGCAACGTGCATAGGAAGATGGAGCTTAAGCCTCCCCCTGGCCGTTTTTCTCAGTCTGGAATAGTTCTGAAGAGCCACAATTTGCCCTATTGTGGGAAACTAATGTGGGAAACTTATCAGTACATGCACAGTTTCCCCAATGGGGCAAATAGCTCACTGCAGGGTTCCAGGCATTCCTCCTGTCTGAGCATTGATCCGAATGATGCTAAAGTGGCTGCCTATCTGTAGGCAGCTGCCTGACAAAGCAAAAACTGAGATTCTGGTTCCTAGACTAAAAGAAGTAGTTTTGAGACTGCTGTGTGATAGGACAGGGCTGTGTGGCCGACTTACAGGACTATGGTGCAGACCCACTACTATTCTCTGTGCTCCTTGGGGACACGGCAGTGAGATTAATCAAGGACCTCTGAAACGGCAGTGATCCCTCACATGCTACTTAGAGTGGCTCTGAACAATAATGTCTGGTTTTCTCCCTGCTTTTCTATGGCTTTCCCGTTATGGAGACTAGACTGGTGGAGAAAAAGTATGGTGTAGTAATTACTAGAGTCAGACCAGCAGTGCAGTTCTAAACACGTTTACTCAAAAGAAAGTCCCACTGAGCTCAATTGGACTTACTCCCTAGTAACTGTACTTAAAATTGCAGCCTAGGATTGGGTTGAAAGCCCACTTGGACACGGGGCTTACAGGGCGATAGGGTTGCCAGGTCTGGGTTGGAAAACACCTGGAGACCTTTGAGGATGGATTCAGGAGAGGGCGGGGTTTGGGGAGAGGAGGGGCCTTGGTATGGTACAGCCATCTTCTCCAGGGGAGCTGACCTCTGTCAGCTGGAGATCAGTTGTAAAAGTGATCCTGGAGGCTGGCAACCCTACAGGGTGACCGTAGGCCTGTTGTGCTCTGTCAGCCTTAACTACCCCACAGGATTGTTGTGGGGAGAAAGTGAAAGAGGGGAGAATTACGTAAACTGTCACAGACTCCTTGGTGGAAAAGTGGGAAAAGTGGGAAGGCGTGATTACTGAAATGGTTGATTAATATGATACCTGTGCCAAGCTATAAGCTTTGCTGCTGTGAAGAAGTCTAGGCCCAGTATATTGGGGAGGGGAAGCTGTCTCTATCCTGCTGAGGACTGAGCAGTGCTGTGGATGCAGCCTCTAAGTGGTAAAAGAGAGGAACATCTCTCTTCTCATTTAATGGAGCTCTGAGCAGAGGCCTGATGGATTGAGTCTTGGGTACCTGCCTGTGCCCCCTCATCTGACGGGAGGTGGTGGTGGTGGTGGTGCTTGTATGTGTGTCTCATTCCAGGCAACAGGGAAAGATTGCTCAGGCGGCTGAAGGAAATGCTGCAGTCAAGGCTAGTGCCTCCCCTGCTGGCAAGTGGGTTTGACCAGGACAGTATCCCTTTGTGTGCCGCCTGACCCCACTCAGTTCCCTCTGGATAGGGCACTTCCTGCAGTGAGCTTACTAGTAGCTAGCCCCAAAAGGTCCCTTGTTAACGGACTGGATGCTTCTTGTCCTCTCTTCTCTTTTTGCCGAGGGCCAAACTAGGCAGGGTCACAATGCAGGAGGCCAAGAAGCATTCTGGGCCTCGTTCTGAAGAAAAGGATATTTGTATGTGGGCAGCGTACTATCTCAATGCGTCTTTGTGCAGTAGAGAGCTGCTTGAAGGGGAGCCCTACTGAGTCCTCTCCATCAGGCCTGTTGCCAGTTCATAGATGTCAAGATTAGAAAGAAGTATATAGATCACCCCAAATCTGACTTCCTCTGTGCAATGTGCAAGGAATGACTTCCTCCCTTTTCATATTATACCAGGACATTTCTGTTGTTTTTGACAGTATCAAACCATCATTTCAGGAGATTGGACAGTCTTGCTCCAAAGCCTCTGTCTAAAATGAACGATAATCCAGTATACGGCCCTGTGCCCCTTGGAGGAACGGCAGGATTCAAAATGCGATGGATAGAAATAAAATCAGTAGAAGACTGCTGTTTTTATTTACAGATTATTATCAGAATTGTACTCTACTTTCCCCCAAGGTTCTCAGAGTGTAGTAGTGGTTTTAGAGCAACCCTGTGAGGTAGATGAAGCGAAGGGAAGAAGGACGTGCCCAATGTCACCCAGTGAGCTTCCTATCTGAGGAACCGGGATCTTCTAATTCTTCATTAGACTCTTGCATCATGCTCGTTTTGGCATTTGGTGCTGCAATGGTTACTTGCCTTTGCTGATTAAATGCTGTTCTTGATTAGACCTTGTCTGGCTTTTATCTTTCCTTTATTGGTTGTTCTTATGTTTCCCTTGACTAGATTAAAGGGCTGCTATTTGGTACCTAAAACCTTCTCCCCAGTGAAGGTATATTACAATCAGTTCACCTCTTAACCTTCTTCTTGATAAGCAGAACAGACTGGATTCTAAGGTCCTTCACTGAAAGATTCCTTGTCTAACACATTCCTGATTTTTCCCACATCTGTCAAATGAATAGTGCAGCCCAAATTGCACACAGTGGTCACGATCCAGGAGTAATCACTTCTGTATTTATATCATACAGGTGGCCCATCTGCTATCAGGTTCTCCCCATTGGTTCTGAAGTCTCTCCACTGGCAGTCCATTTGTTTCTGGCTCCAGTTTTAGGCACTGGTGCTTACTGACTTGCGGCCCACATCCTTGAAGGACCATCTCTCCTGATATGGGCACTTGGGGCAATTATAGTCTTCACAACAGAGTCTCCTAATAGCCCCCTTGCTCTCAAGGATATATTCTGTGGCAGCCTGGGCCCCGGGACTTTTCTGCTATTGCCCCACTGTTATGGATCAGCCTCTTCTAAGGGGGTGAGGCAGGTATCTGCTCTTGGTGTGGCCTTCTGATCAGGCTGTAAGTCAGAATTATGTAAAAGAGCTTATGGGGCAGCTCAAAGGCACTCTGGCATAATTGTTTTAACTGTGGTAATTATCTGTTTTAGTTAGATTTTTATTTACCCATTTTTAACTTGGGGATGCCAACCTCCAGGTGGTGGCTGGAGAACTCCCGCTATTACAACTGATCTCCAGGTGACAGAAATCAGTTCATCTGGAGAAAATGGCCTCTTTGGAAGCATCATGCCCCACATGGAACCATCATGCCCCAAACCCCACCCTCCTCAGCTCAGGCTCAGCCCCCCAAAATCTCCAGGTATTTCTGAACCCGGAGCTGACAACCCTACTTTAAGTGTGTTTTAATTAATTTAATATGAATATTTTTGAATTTTAATTATTGTTGTCACACACCTTGGATACTGAGTGACTGTGTTGGGATTAAGGCAGAGGGTACAAAGGAAATAAAATAAATAAATAAATGCCTTTTGCCAGTGTGTTACCCTGGAAGTTCGTGTTCTCTTGGCAGAATCAGTGCTTTCCAGGATGATTCTGCATTCTGTAGGCGTGGCTTACATTTTTCTGCTCTAATCTATGACTTTGCATTTGGTAATATTAAGATATTTGTTTGTATGCTCTTTTTCTGACCATTGGTATTTACCATTCTACTGACATGGGTCTTTTTAAGCAGTCCTCTGATACACACTTGGGAGTAACCTTCACTGGAGATTTATTTCTAAGCAAACATGCAGAAGTTTGGACTGCCTGACATTTAAAATGTATGGCCCATTGATCTGTACAGGAAATGACCCCTTTGTGGGCTACAGACAGCTTCCTGGGCTGGAACTGCTGGGGTGGGGTTATGCATTTTAGAACTAAACTTCTTTGTGTGCCTGCCATATTCTCAGTATCGCCAGAAGACATGGAGCTGCTGGGAAAGAATTGAGGTGCCAGGAGTTGATGACAAGGGAGAAGAGATCACCTTGAAGGGCCTCTGTGATCATCTCCAGGTGACAATGGACAAGTGTGAGGTTCTATGGGTGGATGCAGGCAGGAACCTAGACCACATTTCCTGAAATGCCTAATCCCATCTTTATATTCTCCCTCCATAATGTCTGAATAACCTGGCGTCTCCCCCAACCACTATGCACACCAGGAGTACAGCAAGAGGTTTTCTGTGCTACATCAAGAGAGGAAGCAGAGCAAGTCCTGCAGTTCAAGAGGGGCCAGTAGGCACTGCATCCTGAATGTACACTTCCAGCCTTATCTCTGATCTCATTGTGCTCTCCTTCCATTCAGTGCAGTACTCCCCTTCTGTCCTAGAGTAGCTGTTACCCTGATTATGTAGTAATTATTTAAGGCATTTATACCCCACACACACTTGAAAAATAAGTCCTTGAAGCAGCTTACCAATATTAAATACTGACTAAAATATCAATAAAGCATCACTAAAATGGAAAAAAACAAGCAGTGCCATAAAGCAAGCAGCCCTGTCCAATTACAGTAAAGAAAAAGACTGATTAAAAGTTCAAGTTTAAAAAAAAGGACTGACTATGCCTGGCACCCAAATGGTAGTAATATCCAATTCAATATGGCCTCAGTTTGTTCTCTTTCTGATTGTCCCTCTCCCCTGCCCCCCATCACCAGTCCTAAATTATTCTGTATACTTTCTAATACTCCCATTTAACCTTTTCCATTTCAGCTCCCTCTATTGAATGCATTGTACTGTCTGGAACCATAAATGAATCTTTTCATGTTTTTGGTTCTATTCCACATTGTTCTCAAAGCCTTCTGTCCCAGCTCTTACCTAAGATTGTCAATGTGATGCTTATTCCCTCCTGTTTCACAGAGAGAGCACGGCCTGGAGCTACAGATGCTGGTGTATGGGAAGACTATGATCTATCATGGATTCTGGGAAGAAGAGAAAAGAGAAAAACAGCTTTCCAACAGGTAGGACAATTTCAGGTAAATATCTGCATAGTTTTGAAGTATTGGTTTCTGAGCCCCTTACTAAAAAACCAAAAGTGACCTAAGTTCAGTGTCATATGATGCCACAGTGTCAGTCTCTCCACACTAGCAGTCTTTCCCATGGATCCTGTAATTCACATAGAGATGGTGAAGAGGGGCTTAAATCTTCAATCCCTGTTACATTTCACAGTGTTTCAGGCTTATCTCTGACCCTCTGTGGCAATGGATCTTTCAGCAGCAGGACATGTCTGGGCAGGTCAAGGGCTAACTAACCAGGCCTTGACCCCGTCCAGTCCCAGATACAGTCTGGAAAGATAGGCAAAGGCTTGGACTGAAGTGGGACAGGGAACGTCTGGTCCATCCTCGAAGGATGATCAGCAAAGCCTAAATTCCTGTGGTCTCCTCACACCATTCCTGCTTCGGCATCCTAATGTTCATGGTGTTTAGAATAATAATAATCTCTCAAGAGATTCAACCGGAGCAGCTATGACATCCTTGCCCCACAGTCTTGAGTATCCCTCTGTCCAGTTGAAATGAAATCCATGAGGGCCTGAGCCGTTAGTTTGGGCCAGTGTTTATTAAGCCTTTCTAATTTTACCAGTTTCTAATGTAGTCGAGTTTCTCTTGTTGTTCCTCAGTAGGCATTTTTTTTTTTTTTGCATCGCCCTGGGCTGGAGTAGTTTGCTGTCATCCTTAGTTGGATGCTTAGATTGTGCTTTTCCGTCTCTTAGGCAAGTTTCTGCTTTGCTCCTATTTGCTTCTTGTGTCTGCAGTGGTCTGTGAATCAGCATTCCTCCATTTTGTCTCCTTTTGTCCAGTTCTGGGACCTGGGAAGGCACAGACCTGCAACTGGAAAGAGGGCAGAGGGATCCTCAGGACTGTGGGGTAGGACTGTCGTAGCTGCCCCACCACTGGGCCTCTACAGGCCCAGCCTGGGGTGCTGTAGCTCTGCAGCAGCTGCAAAGCCTCCACGTCCTGTCCCTTCCATGCCGGGTAAACATCCTGCTGTCAGCACCTCCTCCGCTGTTTCCTGGGGCAGAGCAAGCTCATCCCCCACCCCAGTAGGCCACTCTGGGCCTCTGCCATCCGCACGCATCCAGAGGCAACAGTTAGTTCCTTGCTCCACAAACTTTCCAGACTCCTTGGCAGTGTTTCCTGCTCTCTGCCCACTCATGTCCCTCTACCCCACCCCTCAAACCACGCTGCAAACTCTCATGGGCAAAGTTCCTTGCTTTCACTCTTTTTTTCCATTTCTTTGGGAAAGAGAGGAAGCATGCTGACTGTTCCATTAAGGATGGCTGAATGGAAGCTAGAAAAAGGGCACACATCCCTAACATTGCTCCATATAGTGGCTGTGTTGATTTTAGCCCTCAATTCTGGACCACTGGGCCTTCTGCAGCATAGGAAACACAGTCAGGTGAAAGGGGGGGGGGGCTGAGTAACTGCCAGAATAGGTAGCAGTGTCTGTGGCATGTGCATGAAAGGGGCCTTGTGAACAGGAATGCTTGGGAAACAATGTCAGCTGATTGTCCCACTGTGTTTGTAACCACTGGACAGAGAGATAATAAGGTGTAGTTCAGAGGCTGTTGCAAGACCCTGAACACACACTGGTGAACAAAGTATTGTACATTCCAGTACAGCCCAGGCAGGGGCCCATCCCTGCTACCAAGGCTCCTCAGTCCCTCCAGCACCTTTGCTTTCACTTTTTCCAGACTGACAGAACTGGTTTGTGCTACTGCAGAGACAGTGTCCAAGGACTGCCGGCTGTTGGTGTTCCAAATTGTCTGTGACAATGAAGAGGATGATGCCGACTTGCCCCCTGTTCATGTTCAGTTCCCTCCAATGAAAGGAAAGAATGAGTAACTTGTATGTTGGGGGGGCAGTGTAACACGCGCACACATCCATATGCTAGCCATACTCATACTGAACATGGCAGAGACAAATTCCATGGAAAGTCAAAATGTGTATTTTGCTTTGATGAAGAAGGAAGTATGCCCTCTTCAGTGACTGACCTGCAGGCCTGGTCTTGCTCTCAAGAATAAAGAATTAATTAGGAAATGAGCTCATTCAAGACGTCTGTCCTGCAGGGTTCTTATTTGCTTTGTTTTGGAGGGCTCCCCGGGCCTTGTCTCTGATTCCCTTCCCAGCATACTACAGCACTCCTTCAGGAGGTCTGGAAGCATTAGCGTTGTTACAAGTAAGCATGAAACGGCTTTAATATTTCAGAATAGCAGCAAAATTCGGGGTTTTATATAATAGGAGCAGAGGAAAGGGTTGAAGGCTTCAGCTTTTGTACTCATAAGGTCACAAGCTCATTCTTCAGCATTTCCAGGAAAGGGTCTCAAGCAGGAGTGCTCAAAGAGACTTTTGCCTGAGATCTTGAAGAGCTTGGCTGAATGAACCAGTTGTCTGACTTGGGGTAAAGTATATGTTCATAACGCTTTGGGCCCTCTGTGGTGGGTAAGGGAAGATGTTAGGATGCTTGACAGGCACTAGGCCGTGTATCTGCCCTGGCAGCACTTGCTGAAAAGCCTTGCGGAAGAAATTGTCTCTGTCAGTATAAAGGTAAAGGTAAAGGTTCCCTTGCTCGAAAGCCAGTCGAATCCGACCCTAGGGTTGCGGTGCTCATCTCCGTTTCAAAGCCGAAGAGCCAGCGCTGTCCGAAGACGTTTCCGTGGTCATGTGGCCGGCATGACTAAACACCAAGGCGCACGGAACGCTGTATAGTATAAAGGAGATCTTATGAAGGTGAATTAATGAAACATTGTAAACATTCCAGCATGTATATGTTCTAAGCGTGCTATCTTGAAATTATAATAAAATGCAGTAGTTTTACCTCAGTACTGTGTGTTGCACTTTGATAGTATTATTACTTGACTATGCAACTATCGTTAACTTAGAATCATAGAGTTGAAAGGGACTTCCAGCGTCATCTAGTCCAACCTCCCTGCACAATGCAGGAAATTCACAAATACCCCCCCCCACACACACACACAAACACACACTCCCATTGACCCCCTGCTCCATGCCCAGAAGATGGCAAAAAACTTTCAGGATCCCTGGTAATTCCCTAGTTGTGATTTGATTTTAAATAAAAGAGTATGGATCTCATACATATCCACAAATCCACCCTCCAGTATCCTCACTGATGACAGCAAATAGAGGCAATGGAGTGAGCAGCTTTGTATTTCTCATATGTAATGTAAAGTGAAATAACAACCAACAAATTACTGGTAGGATAAAGTACCACTGGAAGGTTACGTCTTCATAGTATGCTTTTAGCAACATGTCAACATTAATAAGACATTTGATGGAAATGATGCTTCTTTCATTTTAAAGTGATGCTGCTTCTAGGACAGCTGTCTTCGAACATCAGTT